GGTTTTCCCCCCCCCCCCCCGCCGTCTTTCTCAAAATTTTAGCAGACACGGCGCCACCGCCAGAAACCATCGACAATCCCATGAGATCATGGGAAACGTTTCATGTGCGTCGGTGCGCCTTCGATAAAGGCGCATACCTATTGGAATTATTCTTTCCTTTATGGGGATTCTATGGTGCCTTACTTACGGCTTGTGGGACTTTACTTGGAAATACTACGGAAATCCATGGATCGTTGAACGCTCATGGGATATCTCGTTGTGATTGGGAGGTCCTTATTTTTTTCATCATATTTTCTCATGCTCTCATGGGAAAACGTATAGGGACATGGAGCCCCATAGATACAAAATTTTGATATGTCAATTTTCTCATAATGTCAAATTTCAATTATCTGCATAACTCTTCGTTAAAATTTTGTATTCTTTTTTTTTACACCATCGATATGGGACCCCATAAAATTCACATGGTGTCTCAAGTATCCGTACTCGAGTCACTCATTTATTCGGATAGTTGGATTTGATTTACTATTGATGGCTAAAACTTTAACGCTGTGGGTCTTTATGGTTATTCAAGTGCTTTGTGAAAATTGTCCGAAAGACCATGTAAATAACCATAAATATTCATCTCCGATAAACACTTTGTTGGTGTGTTCGTTATGGGTACAAGTGATAGCTATGGGTACTCTTGTACACAGCTAAGCATCTATGGGTCGACTGTACTTAAGTGGAAGATTTAGGGGTGGTCCTAATGAAGAAAGCCTTAAATCTAGTTTAATCTACAGCAAATCTATTCGAGTAACGTTCAAGGATTCGAATATTTAAAAAATCATCTGTAGGAAGAAGAGATGAAAAAAAAAGAAACTATGACAGAAAAACGATGAGATATAAAAGTGATAGGGATGCTGACAGTGGCAATTTTTTTTCTAAACAATTTACTCAAAAATATTATAATAGCGATAGTACCCGGTGGTGCCCATCGAAATATTTTTTTGGAAAATTCCAAATTCGTCAAAATATCGATATTCCCTAGCTTTTATTTTATAAAAAAATTAATTTAAAAATGACTCACCAGTCGTCACGAGCAGGACGGCTATTCTTCTTATCAGTGGAATCTGAAGGAAAAATTAAAAAAAAATTATTTAAAAAAATGAGTACTATATATCATAGCATTCCCCAAAATTATATATATATATATATATATATATATATATATATATATATATATATATATATATATATATATATATATATATATATATATATATATATATATATATATATATATATATATATATATATATATATATATATATATATATATATATATCACGAGGAAGGAGAGGGATGCAAGGAGCTCGCATAGCGAAAAAGGGTTTATGGGAATCCAGAGTCCTGCCGGCAAATAACAATAACAACAGCAACGGGATATACATCCATGGGGTGGGATTCCGGTCAGGGAATAGATTAAAACTGTCCTGACAATAGGACTTTTATCAAAGCTCAGTCAAGCTCACGGTCCATGACACATGTGGTGTCCCATATGTGGCACATACACGGGGCCCGCATAATATGGGAATGTGAATCACGGCCGATGGACCCTACGGGCAAACCCCATAGAATAAATCGGACATCATCAAAACGTCCATATCAATTCCCTTTACGGCGGCCATAATAATAACGCATTGTACGCGCAATATTCAAATTTTAATAGAAGCAAGTACAGACGACCGGATCAGAATAGATGATAAAAAAAAAAAAAGAAAAAGGGACCTACAGCGAGTTATCTGGTAAAAAATATGAAAACAAAAGAAAAAGTTGACCAAAGAAAAAAAAATGTAATAACTATGGTGTTCTGGTAGAGAAACAAAAAATAATTCGATTCGTATTAAACACCATAACAGGTATCGATCAGATTCGCCATAGGCCATTCAAGTTGATTTCAATGCGAGTCTGGAATATAATACACGGGACACTAGACAGCATCCCTTACGGCGCAACCCCCATGTCAAAGCCACCCCCTAGCATACGAGCAGCGCAGCTACCATACGTGCTGATAGTAAAACGTACAAGGGGGGTTACAACTAGCATGAATCACGTAGTGGACCAGCTGCTCTCCTATCTCCCCTATCAGATACCCCAATAACCCAACGGAGCCTCAACCACCCTTAGCCATCCCTAATCACCCCCTGGCCAAACCCCACGAGAGTACGCGACCACGTGCGCGAAATCGTTATCCTCCCCCAAGCACTGCGTTACAACAGAAAAAAAAAACTATATGAGGATCCACCCGGTGACAGGCGAGTATAGACACTATCTTATCAAAATTCTCAATAAACGAAAAAAAAAAAAAAAAATTTTTTTACTTCTCCAAATTTTATCTCAAAATACGATTTTCAGGTAAAGACAGTCGGCTCCTTTGTGGAACAAAAAAATCGTTCCAGGAAGAAACCCCGAGGTTAGGTTAGGGTTGGGATAGGTTAGGTTTCACAGTGCAAAGACTCGCAGGACTCAATGACTGTCACGGTTGACGTTTTAGCAAAAGGTACGTACTCCCACGTGCTGACCACGTGGATCTAGGAGAGTCGATAGTTCAATAATCTGTCAGTGAATTGTTTACGTGAAATTGACAGAACTGTCATTCAACTGTAGAACTGCTTAAAAAGTTCTGATTATGCGGGAAAATAATTTGAGTACGTATCAGCGTTAAGCTGGCGACTGTGTAATTTCCGTCGACAGTATAAAAAAAAAAATAATAATAATTATGTTTTCGACAAAGACATTCAACATGCTCGTGATACTTTGGGCGTATGTGGAAAAGGAAATTCAAAAGCTCATTCATATGCCTACTATACCAACTGTATTATCATTTGGTTACTCACAGACTTAGGACACGTGTGAAGTGTGCTTTGAGAATTAGTGGTATGTGACAGGACGGCCATTTTTATTTTCATTTTTATCCGGATGTGTCTGGCTCGACAATTTTTCTAGGACAGAGTAAAACTAAACACACAGGACTCCCTATGGCTTATGCGTGACACACATAGCTCAGTCGTAACGTCGCATATGTGCCAGATATCACATGTGCTACCAGCTCCCCTCGATATTTCTCCTCTCTTTCTCTATAACGTTTTATACGTTCCTTCAGAAAAGCATATATCCACAGTCGCCGGGGACCGTCGCCAACGGGCCTTACGCGTCTCGCACTCAATGCGAGAAGTAAACATACTCCTAAGATCCCCTTATGGTACTGTATGAGCATACGTGAAGAATTCCGTGGGATCTTAAAGCTGCGAAACTACGGTATACTTCGTACGGGGTTACGCAAACGCAGCACCTTCAAGCTAGCCAGTCTATTTGATTTGAATGGTAGAATCCAACTGGACCACCCTGTATATACGATATACATTTGTTACAATAAAAGTAGTTGCGTCAGAATGAAAATTATTTTTATTTTCACCAAAGACTATGATTTGGGAGTAACAGGAAATTTAAAAGAAAAAGTCCCGCCAAAAATTACGTGGCGGCTTCTAGAAGCTTGTCGTGAAGGTTAAGGCGGATTTCCGTGATTTTGAGCTTACTCAGAAAAATCCTTTGATGGTGAAAGCGGGATAAAATCTACGATGATGCTGGGTCCATTGGTCTTTTGGGGGATTGAATGAAAAAAAAAAAAAAAAAAAAAAAAA